AAACTCGAGGCTTTGGTGGAATGTTAACTGGAATGCTGCACAGAGAGAGAGAGAGAGAGAGAGAGAGAGAGAGAGAGAGAGAGAGAGAGAGAGAGAGAGCTAGCTTTAACATCACCTGAAATATTGTCTCAAAAGTTGATTGGAAAGTTGAGTTAAAAAAAAGTTAGATGAAAGGCTGGTTGGATGGTTCCTGTGAAGGATGGCAGGATACTGGGTTATAGGACATCCTGGGTTATCGGACATCCTGGATTATAGGACATCCTGGGTTATAGGACATCCTGGGTTATAGGACATCCTGGGTTATAGGACATCCTGGGTTATAGGACATCCTGGGTTATAGGACATCCTGGGTTATAGGACATCCTGGGTTATAGGACATCCTGGGTTATGGGACATCCTGGGTTATAGGACATCCTGGGTTATGGGACATCCTGGGTTATGGGACGTCCTGGGTTATAGGACATCCTGGGTTATAGGACATCCTGGGTTATAGGACATCCTGGACTCCCCAATTTTAAAAGGACTTTCTAGACACCTGCTGCTAGATGGGATAGAAGCCATTATAATACTCACTGGAATTTATGTATAAAACTTGCTGGGTTTTGACAGGTTAGGTGAGAGAAAGAGAGAGAGAGATTTAGACACCCACAAGCTTCTATCTCTCTCCCTCTCCTCCTCTATCCCTCATGCATTCTTTCTCACCTTCTCTCTCTCTCTCTCTCTCTCTCTCTCTCTCTCTCTCTCTCTCTCTCCTCCTCTATCTCTCATGCATTTTTTCTCACCTCTCTCTTCCTTTCTCTCTCTCTCACCAAAGGGAAGTTGGCAGATAATCAACAATACCCTTGTGTCCTGCTGCCCATACTGATCAATATGGCCTCCTTACACACTTCTTGGGACATTGAGTTGATCTAGTGTATTCAACTAACTGATCATCCAACTCACTCATCTCATCCACCCAGCTCATCCAACGAATTCATGTAACTCAATCAATTAATTAACTCAGCTGATCCCTGTAGCTTAACTAATCCATCCAACTCATCCAATTCATCCAACTCATTAACTAATTCATCCAACTCATCCATCCAACACACCCAACTCATCCAGCTGATCCAATTAGAAGTTAAGAGTGACGTCAAACCGGACAACATATATGACGAGGCAGCAAAAGTTTACCTCAGCAGCTGATGTTGACCCGAGTTTATAATGGGCACACGTCAGGAGGACCCATAGGGGGGGGGGGAGAGAGAGAGATAGATAGATAGATGGAGAGATAGATAGAGAGATAGATAGATAGATAGATAGATAGATAGATAGATAGATACAACAGACAGACACACAGGCACAAATATTAGTAAGAAAAATAAAAATGAAAATAAAGAATTAAAAATAAGTATATAAACCTCACGTAAATAAATACATCAATAAACAAACAACCAAAAAAAATACACACACAAGAAAAACGAAAAACTTACAAAACTCAAGAGACAAAGACACAAATAGCAACAACAGACCCCAGACAAACACACAGACGAACAAAAACACAGACGAACAAAAACACATTTTACTGATGGAACCAAAACAAACCCTAGGCCTGGACATAAACACGATGACGTCACGGGGAAGATGCCAGATACCACCACCAGGGAGATTTTTTTAGTGTTGCCAGATATAATAATAATAATAATAATAATAATAATAATAATAATAATAATAATAATAATAATAATAATAATGTATTTTAACCTAAACTGACGTAGTACAATTTGTGAGCCAGAACTGTTTTATTGCATGTTTAGGTGAGAGACAGACAGACACAGACAGACAGACAGACACAGACAAAATAGCTATCTCCTTATCTACGGATTCCATTATCTACGGGTTCCATTATCTAGGGGTTCCATTACGTACACTTTATGGAGGCGGAAGAGGTTGTGTGTGTGTGCCGTAAAAGCTGCCTGAAGAACCCCCTTGACTACTGGCGTCCCGATTGGCTGCCTAACACACTCAGCAGTAGCAGTCTCCACCAGTCCTTGTTGTGACTGGCTCTTGTTTGGGTCTGGGAGAGGGTGTGGGAGAGGGTGTGGGAGGGGGTGTGGGAGAGGGTTGTGAGGGGTGTGGGAGAGGGGAGAAGAAGGGTGTTGGTGTGCAAGGGTGGAGATGGGATGGGTGTGTTGGGAGGAGGAGGGGTGTTGGGGAGGTGGGGTGAGGGAGGGAGTGGTGTGTTGGGGGAGAGGTGTGTGTGTGTGTGTGTGTGTGTGTGTGTGTGTGTGTGTTTTTCCCTAACATTTCAATAAATTAAATCAACATATTTACTGCACATAAATATTTATACCAACAAACTCACATTAACAGAAAAATAACCCACAATCACACCCCTGATAAAAAATAACAATAGCGACAGTAATTAAACAGCTAACAAAAAATAAATAAACATAAAAAACTCTACAAATATTGACTAAAATCCGGATTCACATTTGAAGAACGCTCAGATTATAAACAAACCCAATAAAAAAAATTAAGTTCTCTCTCTCTCTCTCTCTCTCTCTCTCTCTCTCTCTCTCTCTCTCTCTCTCTCTCTCCTCTCTCTCTCTCTCTCTCCCAATTAGTAATCAGATTTTCACATTAAATTTCCTACCTGTAATTAAGGTATTCGTTTTAGTGATGTGTTTTATTTTGGTAGAACGAAAAGGAGTCGAGGCAGAGTTTTATTTTTTTTATTTAGTCATTCATTAGTAAAAGGATGGTGTTTTATTTTGATTAAAGTAGATTGAAATGAGGGTAGGTGTGTGTGTGTGTGTGTGTGTGAGAGAGAGAGAAAGAGTGTTGGTGAGATGTGAGAAAAAACACACACCTTATCTACACACACACACACAGAGTCATGTGGGGTGATTGTGTACGTCAGGCAGTGCTGATCGCTTGTGCTGACGTTGTGGTTGATAGGGAGGAGAGGATAAAAGTAGGAATAATGGGGTGAGAGATGATGAGAATGAGTGAGAGATGCTGGTGATGAGATAAGAGAGGTGGTGTGATCTAGCTGGTTAGGAATGTTGGGTCCACACTACCAGCCAGGTGGTGGTGGTGGTGGTGTGGTGGTGGTGGTAGTGGTGGGTGGTAGTGGTGGTGGTGGTGGTGGTGGTGGTGTGGTGTGGTGGGTGGTGGTGGTGGTGGTGGTGGTGGTAGTAGTGTGATAGTGGTGGTGGTGGTGGTGGTGGTGATAGTGGTGGTGGTGGTGGGTAGTGGTGGTGGTGGTGGTGGTGGTGGTGATAGTGGTGGTGGTGGTGGTGGTGGTGGTGGTGGTGAGTGGTGATAGTGGTGGTAGTGGTGATAGTGGTGGTAGTGGTGATAGTGGTGGTGGTGATGGTAATGGTAAGTTTGTTAAGTAGTCTTGTAAAGTGTAAGGTAATGAATGCTTATAAGTGAAAACTCTATATAATGGACTATATCGATATGGAAATCCGTTATATCAAGGATCCGTTAGATATGAAACCTCCATCTAACGTTATACAGAGGGTCTGGTAGAGAGAAGATCCCTTATATCGAGGTTATATGAGAGAAGAGTCCGTTATATCGAGGTTTTATGAGAGAAGAGCCCGTTATATCGAGGTTTTATGAGAGAAGAGTTCGTTATATCGAGGTTTAATGAGAAGAGTCCGTTATATCGAGGTTTTATGAGAGAAGAGTCCGTTATATCGAGGTTTTATGAGAGAAGAGTTCGTTATATCGAGGTTTTATGAGAGAAGAGTCCGTTATATCGAGGATTTATTAGAAAAGTCCGCTATAAAGAGGATTTATTAAAGAGAAGAGTCCGCTATAAAGAGGTTTCACTGTATTAAGTAAACCGTGTAAAGTGTCGTTAATGATTCTCGTAAGTGTATAAGTAGTGTTGTAAAGTGATGAGTGAACGGCTAGGAGTTTATTAAGTAAATCTTGTAGAGGGAGGAGGAGAGGGAGGAGAGGGTGGAGTGAGAGGAGGGAGGAGGAGGAGGAGGGAGGAGGTGGAGTGAGAGGAGGAGGTAAAGGACTTATGAAAAAATTATAAATCTTTTACTTTTATTTCTTATTACTCTCTTCACTTCCTCTCTCTCACTCCTCCTGTCGCTCTTCTTACTCCTCTCTCCCTCACCCTCCTCTCCCTCACCCTCCTCTCCCTCATCCTCACTCTCCCTCACCCCTCCCTCTCCCTTACCCCTCCTCCTCACCTTCCCTCATCCCTCACTCTCCCTCACCCTCCCTCCCCTCACCCCTCACCCCTCCCTCTCCCCTCACCCCTCCTCTCCCTTCCTCACCCTCCCTCACCTTCCCTCATCCCTCACTTCCCTCACCCCTCCCTCCTCACCTCACCTCACTCTCCCTCACCCCTCACCCTCACTCCCTCACCCTCACCCCATTAATTAAGGTAGAGAGCAGCCTGGCCAACCTAATTGTCCCTTGAGTTAGGAAACAGTCCACAGGTGCAGCCAGAGAGAGAGAGAGAGAGAGAGAGAGAGAGAGAGAGAGAGAGAGAGAGAGAGAGAGAGAGAGAGGGTGTGGGGAAGCTATGCATAAAGTGTGTGTGTGTGAATGAAGTGAGCCCCGAATGTCTCCTGGGTGAGTGAGAGGAGAGAGGGAGAGGGAGATGGTGAAGGATAACATAAAAGGGGAAAGAGTAAAGGAAGGGAGTGGCAATTGATGGTGTATACAGGAGGGGGAGAGAGAGAGAGAGAGAGAGAGAGAGAGAGAGAGAGAGAGAGAGAGAGTATAGTTAGTTAGATGCATAAAACAATGAAAAGACAAGCATATAGATAGATAGATAGATAGATAGATAGATAGATAGAGTGAACAATTAAGAAGGCATTGCGAAACTGAAATTGCACTCGGGTCAGGTGACAAATCATGCTGGATGGTGCAGGCATTTGTTTTTTCTCCAAAACTGCCATCCCTATCACTTGACCTGACCTGACCTTTTGACCTTAGATGGCTGCTCTAAGGATGAAGGTATGTGTACATGTCGAGTGTGAGTTATGTGCGTGGAATTCGCTCACAGGTTATCATTGTTTATGTGCTACTCACGCGGTCAGCAGCACCGGCCGCCCCTACTCAGTCAGCGGCCGCCCTACCACGCGGTCAAGCAGCACCGGCCGCTACTCACGCGGTCAAGCAGCACCGGCCGCCCTCTGGTCATGCCGCTGGCCTACTCACGCAGTCAAGCAGCGCAGCCGCTCTGGGTCATGCCATTGGCCCCTACTCGCAGTCAGCAGCACCGGCGCTACCACGCAGTCAAGCAGCACCGGCCGCCCTACTCACGCACTGGCCGCTACTCCGCAGTCAGCGCCCCTACTCACGCGGTCAAGCAGCACCGGCTACTTCTCGCAGTCATGCAGCACTGGCCGCCCTACGCAGTCAAGCAGCGCGGCCGCCCTACCGCAGTCAAGCAGCACCGGCCGCCCTACTCACGCAGTCAAGCAGCACCGGCCGCCCTACTCACGCGGTCATGCAGCACTGGCGCCCCTACTCACGCAGTCAAGCAGCACCGGCCGCTATGCGGTCATGCAGCTGGCCGCCCTACTCACGCAGTCAAGCAGCACGCCGCCTACTCCGCGGTCATGCAGCACCGGCCGCCCCACTCGCGGTCATGCAGCGCCGCCTATACGCAGTCAAGCAGCAGCGCCCTACCACGCGGTCATGCAGCACTGGCCGCCCTACTCACGCAGTCGCAGCAGCCGCCCTACTCCGCGGTCATGCAGCACTGGCCGCCTACTCACGCAGTCAAGCGCAGCCGCCCTACTCACGCAGTCAAGCAGCACCGGCCGCCCTACCGCGGTCATGCAGCACTGGCCGCCCTACTCACGCAGTCAAGCAGCACCGGCCGCCCTACTCACGCGGTCATGCAGCACTGGCCGCCCCACTCACGCGGTCATGCAGCACTGGCCGCCCTACTCACGCAGTCAAGCAGCACCGGCCGCCCTACCACGCAGTCAAGCAGCACCGGCCGCCCTACCACGCGGTCATGCGCAGCACCGGCCGCCCTACTCACGCAGTCAAGCAGCACCGGCCGCCCTACTCACGCGGTCATGCAGCACTATCCGCCCTACCACGCGGCTGCCAGCACCGGCCGCCCTACCACGCAGTCAAGCAGCACCGGCCGCCCACCACGGGTCACAGCACTGCGCTCCCACGCAGTCACAGCACCGCCGCCTACCACGCGGTCAAGCAGCACCGCCGCCCTACTCACGCAGTCAAGCAGCACCGGCCGCCCACTTCACGCAGTCAAGCAGCACTGGCCGCCCTACTCACGCAGTCAAGCAGCACCGGCCGCCCTACTCACGCGGTCAAGCAGCACTGGCCGCCCCACTCACGCAGTCACAGCACCGGCCGCCCTACTCACGCAGTCAAGCAGCACCGGCCGCCCTACTCACGCGGGTCAAGGCACTGGCCGCCCTACTCACGCAGTCAAGCAGCACCGGCCGCCCCACTCACGCAGTCAAGTACACCCCGCCCTACTCACGCGGTCAAGCAGCACTGGCCGCCCTACTCACGCAGTCACAGCACCGGCCGCCCTACCACGCAGTCAAGGAGACCCGCCCACTCACGCGGTCATGCAGCACTGGCCGCCCTACTCACGCAGTCAAGCAGCACCGCCGCCCTACCACGCGGTCATGCAGCACTGGCCGCCCCTACTCACGCAGTCAAGCAGCACCGGCCGCCCTACTCACGCGGTCAGCGGCCGGCCGCCCTATCACGCGGGTCAAGCAGCACCGCCCACCACGCAGTCAGCAGCACCGGCCGCCCTACTCACGCGGTCATGCAGCACTGGCCGCCCCACTCACGCAGGTCAAGCAGCACCGGCCGCCCTACCACGCGGTCAAGCAGCACCGGCCGCCCCATCACGCGGTCAAGCAGCACTGGCCGCCCTATCACGCAGTCAAGCAGCACCGCCGCCCTACTCACGCAGTCGGCAGCACCTGCCGCCCTACTCACGCGTCAAGCAGCACCGGCCGCCCCACCACGCAGTCAAGCAGCACCGGCCGCCCTACCACGCAGTCAAGCAGCACCGGCCGCCCTACTCACGGTCATGCAAGCACTGGCCGCCCTACTCACGCAGTCAGCAGCACCGGCCGCCCTACTCACGCGGTCATGCAGCACTGGCCGCCCCACTCACGTCAAGCAGCACCGCCCTACTCACGCGGTCATGCAGCACTGGCCGCCCTACTCACGCGGTCAAGCGCCGGCCGCCCTACTCACGCAGTCAGCAGCACCGGCCGCCCTACTCACGCGGTCATGCAGCACTGGCCGCCCTACTCACGCGGTCAAGCACCGCGCTACCACGCGTGGTCAAGCAGCACCGGCCGCCCCACTCACGCGGTCACAGCACCGGCCGCCCCACCATGCGGTCACAACAGATATAACATGCAAGGAAGCAAACACTTAAGCATCATGTAAATAAACGTGAAGATAAAATTAATTCAGGTAATACACACCAGGTGTGTATTACCTGACTCGGTGCCGGGCAGACTCAAACTCAGGACTTAACCCAACCTAACCCAACCTAACCCAACCTAACCCAACCTAACCCAACCTAACCTAACCCAACCTAACCCAACCTAACCTAACCCAACCTAACCCAACCCAACCTAACCTAACCTACATCTCATCTAATCTCATTTATAAGAACAAAATTTACAAAGTGAATCCGTAGGAGAAAAAATATATATTAAGAGATATAAACATAAGCGACCCTAAAAGGCTTTCTCTCCTCCGCAGATTAGAAGCAGAGGCTGGAAAACAGTGCATATTTTTACCTGCTTATGCAAATTAGGTCATAAATCCTCCCTCCCTCCCTCCGTCCTGACCACTCCCCACCGTCCTTCACCATTCCTCTCCCCTCCCTGCCTCACCTCTGACCTCTCCTCCCCTCACTCTCCCCACATCCTCCTCACCCACCTCACCACCCACCCCTCACCTCCCCCTCCCCACACCCCTCCTCACCCTCCCTCACCTCACCCACCCTCCTCACCTCACCCACCAATTGTAACTTTTATATGTTGAGATGTTATGTCGACTATTAATGGTGAGTTTTTGTTGGGGAGCGGATTTTTTTATGCTTGTTTTAGGAGCCTGGAAAAAGGTGATATTGATGCCTGTAAACGTGACATCACACACACACACACACACACACACACACACACACACACACACACACACACACACACACACACACACATTTTCGTTTTTTCCTGTTATAAACAAGATATTGCCTGTGTTGGCCCAGAGGATGACCTACAGATACTTCAGCCCACGCCTTACTGTGTGTGTGTGTGTGTGTGTGTGTGTGTGTGTGTGTGTGTGTGTGTCTTCCCTGTGAACGGTGGCACAAAAGGAATTACAGAGTAGGGGGTCGCCAAAAGGGTTATAACAGAGCCCGGTGGTAAGGTTATTGTCACAGTGAATGTATTTCCAGTACATTGTTTGGTTGTGTACACAGTAGTTGACTTGTTCACACCTGCAGCGTGAAGGACATACGTGCTGTATGGTATACGTCGAGCTAGCTACTTTCCATTTAATGTTATTCACACGTGCATGAGAGGCAGTCAGGTGTGTTCTTGGTGTAGTTGTGTACATGGGTGTTGACTTAGCTACTACGTGTAAAATGTTTAGACAGTTTTAATACATCAGGTATCTCACCATCAGAGATAAAGTGCTGTCCCACCACACACACACTCAGCATACTTAGACTTATCCCTTAAAGATTTTATTTATTCAAAGTGTAAGACTGTAGAGTGTGTGGCCAGATAGCCACACACTCTATGTTTAGTTTTGTTCACATCTGCCTGAGGAACATACTGCCAGAGGTACTTATATCCTAACCTAATCTAGAGGTTACAACATTTCTTCAGATCTTGCTGCTTGCTCCATATACATGTTTCCTTGATATTCATCATGGTAAATAGATTGACTTGTGGTTGTTAGCCTTGTCTGTTGCTTCAGATTCATCGGCAACTTCTTTCCTGGTAGCAGTTTTAGGGGTTCCTTTTGACAGACCCAGAGTGTATTCAACAGTGTCTTTGTTAGATGTGGGAGTTTGTTCTGAAGTCAACTCTGTCAGGTGTGTGTGTGTGTGTGTGTGTGTGTGTGTGTGTGTTGCTTGTCTTTACGTATGTATGTGTGTGTGTGTACTGTTACCGTGTATGTATGTGTATATTTGTTGCTTGTGTGTGTATGTACGTGATGGATTGCGCTTTTTAATTACTCTTGAATATATTGGTCTCTCTCACACACAATGCCTCTATCTGAACATATTTACCTATGGTTTCTACCTGGATGATCGATGGTAGAACACACACACACACACACACACACACACACACAACACCTTCCTGATGATTGCCGATAAATTATTGACGGTTATTCTGTCTGTGTGTGTGTCTGGTTGTTTATTTCTGTCTGGGTGTCTGTCTTTGTCTGGGTGTCTGTCTGTGTAATTGGTTACTTGTCTGTCTGTCTGGTTGTTTTTCTGTTTGGTTTTTGTTGTTATTATTATTATTGTTTTATTATTATTTTGCGAGAAGTTAAATCTGTGTGGGTCAAATGAGAGAGAGAGAGAGAGAGAGAGAGAGAGAGAGAGAGAGAGAGAGAGAGAGGGCAGCATGACAATCAACCCAAATTCCACATCTTGACACAACAATACGACTTGTAGACGAACTATCAAACCTCTGTGATGGTACTACTGCCTGGCGATGGTACTACTGCCTGGCGATGGTACTACTGCCTGGCGATGGTACTACTGCTCGGCGATGGTACTACTGCCTGGCGATGGTACTTACTGCCTGGCGATGGTACTACTGCCTGGCGATGGTACTACTGCCTGGCGATGGTACTACTGCCTGGCGATGGTACTACTGCCTGGCGATGGTACTACTGCCTGGCGATGGTACTACCGTCTGTGATGGTGGACAGTTGTAGCGAGTTTCGAGAGCAGACTACGAATCCAAAGATGATCTCTAGCTACGAGACGTTCGACCCCTTCTACGAGACCACGAGTCATTGAAACGAGACCCCGAACCCTTTGTATGAGACCACGAATCTGTGAATGAGGCCTCGACCTCCTCTTGCGTGATCATGATCCTGCTGAACGAGATCTCGACCCCCTTGTAAGAGACCTCGAGACTTGCAAACGAGATCTTGAGACTTGTGAACGAGGCTTCGAACCTCGAGAGGAGATAGTGGATGTACTTGACTCAGGAGAGAGATTATACAACAACACAATGGGGAGTACGAAGAGGGGGAGAAGGAGAGGGAGGGTGAGAAAGAGGGGGCATGGAGGAGAGAAAGAGGGAAAAAAAGAATGGAGCATAGAGAAGAGAAGGAGAGGGAGTGAGAGAGAAAGAGGGAACATGGAGGACAGGGAGAAAGGAAGAAGGAGAGAGAGAGAGAGAGAGAGAGAGAGAGAGAGGAGAGGAGCCGAGGGTATTACTAAGCTGAAGGTATGCGGTACAAGTTTTACATACACGCACACACACACACACACACACACACACACACACACACACACACACTGTCGCACCAGAGAAAGTTGTGCACTCGACAAGTTGTAAACTCCTCGAGTGAGAGATAAGGCAAGTCTCGTCTAGCAGTAACAGGATAGGGAACAGGAGGAGGAAGAAGAGCAGCAGGAGGAGGAAGAGCAGGAGGAGGAGGAGGAAGAGGAGGAGGAGGAGGAGGAGGAGGAGGAAGAGGAGGAGGAGGAGGAGGAGAAGAAGAGTAGGAGAAGAAGGAGGAGGAGGAAGACTTCTGATTTTTATCCCTGGCAGTATATGAAGTGGAGACGGGTGACATTTCAGTTGAAGGAGAGTGACGATCAGGTTCAGTGCCATCAGGGAGGGGTTGTTGTGTTGTGTTGGTGTCTACTTCTGAGAGGGTGTTGATATGGTTTACAGACAGACAGACAGAGAGTAGACAGACAGACAGACAGAAGAGAGTAGACAGACAGACAGACACGCCCCCACACTCACACGTTAACATAACACATAGCCCCACACAGGCCCGCCCCACATACGTACATTCCCCTCCCCATAAATACATGCCCCCACACACACGTATCCCTTCCTCCCCCCACACACACACTGTCCCTCCCTCCACACACACACGTCCGTCCCCACACGCCCTTCTCTCTCACACACACGCCCCTTCTCCCACAACACACGCCCCTTCTTCCCCACACACGCCCTCCACATATATAAAGCAAATATTTAAACAGAAGATTGAACCAACAGCTGCTGGCCTGCTGGCTGGGTGCAGAAGTCATTGACCTCACCATACTAACACAAGGTTCCTCTGCCGTCACCATACACTATATATTATTGATAGGGCATATCTTCTCGCCCTCCCAGGTACACATATTGGACCATTATCACCCAAATTCTACTGTGGCACCTGTTGGAAATTTGTTCATCTGTTCTCTGTGTATATAAGAACTTGTTGGTGTGTTTGTTCTCTGGAGTATATTGGAAAGTGTTCATTTGTTTATCTGTTCTCGCCTGCCACACACACACACACACACACACACACACACACACACACACACACACACACACACACACACAGGAAATTGTCCATTTGTTCCTATCTCTTTCAATTCATCGCATTTGTTTCTGTTGGCTGTGGTATTGTTTGTTGTTGTTGTTGATATTGTTGTTGTTGTTGTTGTTGTTGTTGTTGTTGTTGCTGTTGTTTATCAGGAAATAAAATTAATAATGTATCGCAAAATTATCTTCAGAATTTAAATATTGAAATTGTCTTATGTTAATCTAAAATCACCTTATTAATCTGTCTTTCTGTCTGTCTGTCTCTCTGTCTGTGTACCGTATCTGTCTGTCTGTCTGTCTGTGTCACACTAGCATAAAGACACAATCCAGGTGATGGACTTTGATACACACCTGAGCTCTAACTTAATCAAGGCCAGTAAATATACCTGACACCTGACTCTATGTGTGCTTTGAGTCAGGTAGAGAGTCACTGATGTGTGGCTGAAATATACTTTTTAAATATATTACTGTATAGGTGTGTGTGTGTGGGGGGGTGTGGGGAGGGGTGTGTGGGGTGGGGGGCTAAAAGACAGACAGACACACACATACTGACTCACGGGGTTAAGTCATCGTACTCACGGGGTTGTCATCGTAATTAGGGGCTGAAGTCATCGTACTCAAGGGGCTGAAGTCATCGTACTCAAGGGGTCAACAAACACTCTAGTCTTATGCTGTTGTTGTTTTTGTCTTTATTTGTTTTAATGTTATGTTTACCTCATTTGCATATCCGTTGCTAATCATTTCCTCATTTACATATTACCTGTCCTTTTTACCTTGAGATCCACGTTAATATGAATTTTTTTTTTTTTTTCATGATTTTCAGG